GAAGAAGGAGGTAGGCTGATTTTGGAATCGGGAATTTGGGTTCTGGAGAGTTGAGTGCCTCTCGAAGTGCCTCATTTGTATCGTCTTCTTTGTTTCTGCCTTTTACCGCAATATTACTGACGAGCACTTTGTCACGGTGCGTCAAAATAAATTCAATACTAACATTTATACGTAGTATAGCGTAGTAGAGTTCGTATCCACAGGGAAAGGAATAATTCTCTTTTTATAGAACTAGTAAATAAAAGGGGGGTTTAGGATTGAATGATTTAATTTAATTAAACAGAAAGATGAACAACTTAAATGTGATTTAATTCAAAGATAAAAAGGACTTGGCATTGCTACTTTCCACTTGTTGATATATTTTAGTCGATCATTGTTATATCTATAACTTATCCCCTCTCAAATACTCAATCGAGGAGTATATCTAATTCATCGAGAGTAGTTATTAACAACGGCCGTTCATTAATAACCCTTACTATTAGTCAAGTATAGAACACCGCCATATACCGACTTAATAGTAGCATTTAATCTCTTAACTCCTTGATGAAATCAATTGAGATTGATAACCTCAACACAACGGTTTCGGTTTAACCAACAAAATTAATCCCTCTTAAGTTTATTAACCACGACCGTGCATTAATAAACCAAAGTTACTTACTTGTGAAACCATCAACGATTAACCATCGGTTCGTTGATCGTTTCTAGTAGTAATTAATGTCGAGATGTTAACTAATTGTCATCTTAGCAACACTCCCCAACATTAATATAGAGATAGATTAAGGGAAGAATTAATATTCAAGGAAGAAGATTAAATATGAATAATCCTACTATAACTAATGTCAAGATGTTATCTAATTGTCATCTTAGCAACACTCCCCAACATTAATATATAGAGGAAGAAAATAAATACTACTATAACTAATGTCGAGGTGTTAACTAATTGTCATCTTAGCAACACTCCCCAACATTAATATATAGATAGATTAAAAGAATAATTAATATTCAAGGGAAGAAGTTAAGAAAATAACTCACAACTTTAATAATCAACAAGCTTCAAGAGCAACACCAAGAAATGGAAGTTTAGCTCCTCATTTGGAGACTAAACATGCTAAAAAATATATAAAAGAAATACTATTCTAAGTTGAGCTTAAGAGTATGGAAGAACGAGTGCTTAAAAGTGAAGGAAAATGGGGCTATTTATAGGTGTTTTGTAGGTGCTGCACCGGATACCCGACCGGGTATTTGAGATACCCGACCGGGTATTTGTCAAAATCAAATATTTTGCCCACGATTTTGTGTTTTCTGCACGTCTTTTTGTCCGGGTCACTTCATACCCGACCGGGTAAAGGCTATACCCGACCGGGTAAGTCACCAAATCACATTTCTTGCATGATTTCTTGTTCCCTTGCACTTTCCTTTGATCTTGTAAGATCCCTTCCATGATCCTTTGTTGATTCTTGATTGTTTCTTGCTCAAGATGATTCTAAATTTACTAAATTACAACAAACTAGAAAAATAAAATGATTGCACCTTAAATGAGCAATTACCACAACAACACACCATAAAAAGTAATTAAAAGTAAAAATATAAACACTCAAAAATCAATGCAATCAACTCCCCCACACTTAGTCTTTTACTTGTCCTCGAGTAAAATCCATAAAGTTCTTCACCATCCAAAGAGTGTCAACGAGATAAAAAGAAAAACAAAAGTGTTTTCTTTTTCAGTTTAAATTCATCCGCACTATAGAAAGTTATTGCTTTTCCCTCCAGCTGCTTGCTATGGTAAAAATGAACTCCTGCAAAACTAATTTCTTCTCTCATTTCTCTCCTTTTGCCTGGGAGCCTTTTCAGGTTTTCATCCTAGCCTCTCATTTTTTTTACTCACTCTTTTTTTTTTTGCTAATGTTGCTTAGGTTGCCCGTTTGGGTTTTCAACCTAACTAGCATTTCTTCTATTTTTTATTTATTATTATTTTTTTTTTTGACGAAAATAATGCAAGTTACAAGGTAGAAAAAATAATTGTGTACCAATGAGTGACTCCCCCTCACTTAGCTCGGAGCACTGTCCCTAGTGCTCGTTATCGCCATCACTTTTTTTTTTGAAGATATAAAGTTGTGGATTGGGAGAGGGGTGGTTGCTTCCAAAAGTTTGTGGATTAGAGGGTATGTGGAGCAAGAGGACAGTGATGAGAACAAGATTATGATTTTTTTTTTGTGGGGTTTGGTGGAGGATTTGGATAGATTTTGAAGAAAGAGGGATATGGTTAGGAGGTTTGGGGTAATTGAATTGGGTTCGAATTTGGAAAAGACGAATGAGGTGATTTTTTTTTAAAGTGCAAAAATAAAATGCAATAAGTAAATGTACCTTGTATGGGTTGCCTCCCAAGAAGCGCTTTATTTAACGTCGTGGCACGACGCTGTCATTGTGTTCAGTCATTCAAACTTGGATCGTGATAGTTTATCTTCTTCACACTTTCACTCCTAGGACTTCCATAGGAATGCTTAATTTTTTGACTCTTCACTTTGAAAATCTTTCCAGGATCAAATATCCAGATTTTCATTGATTCATGTGGTGGGAGTGAGGGAAAGAAATTATCGTTAAACATGGTTAACGGAAAATGTTTTGATCTCTCAATTTTGCTGAAGATTTCAAAAATGTCATTATCCTTGTCAATTTTATGAGTTTCCCTCAAAGTTTTTAGAATTGTTGGGGGTACCTCAAAGGATGACAAGGATAGATATTTGACCTTGAAACTCGGTTCATCCTCTTCTTTGACTAGCTGGAGCTCCGCGTCTCTTTCTTCTTCTACTTCTTCTGGATTTTGGGTCTCCTTTTGCATTTCCTTCTCATTTGTCAATGTGATTGCAAAAGTTTGCTGTTTAGGATCACATTCTATTTGAGAGGGAAGTTTTTCCGAATCCCTTGCTTCAAGCCTACTTACGGCTCCGGCTATTTGAATCATTTGAGTTTCCAAGTTTGAAATGCTAGACTTGGTCTCATTTTGAAATTGCACCATGTTGTTTTGCATGGTGGTCATGTTGGTAGCAATAGCCCGGACCATATCCTCTGTAGACGTGTTAGAGTTGGAGAACGGATCATAACTCATGTGAGGTGTATCCCTTTCGTAACCAACATCATCAATTTGTTCAAGGTATTCATCTTGGAGCTTTGGGCAGAAATCTGTAAAACGCCTGTGAGACATGCAAATGTTGCATGTCTTGGCATCTTGAGCTTTCGAGTTTAAGATAAATCCCCTTATTAGAGAAGTCAAGAAGGAAATTTGACTCTCTAAGGATGATATGTTGGCATCCATATACTCATAACTCATGTAAGCTCAGAAAATAGAAGAGTAAGATTTTTTTTTTTAAATTTTTTTTATTTTTTTTTATTTTTATGAGATAAAATAAAAAGAAAAATAATTGCCTTTCCCCGGCAACGGCGCCAAATTTGACGAGCACTTTGTCACGGTGCGTCAAAATAAATTCAATACTAACATTTATACGTAGTATAGCGTAGTAGAGTTCGTATCCACAGGGAAAGGAATAATTCTCTTTTTATAGAACTAGTAAATAAAAGGGGGGTTTAGGATTGAATGATTTAATTTAATTAAACAGAAAGATGAACAACTTAAATGTGATTTAATTCAAAGATAAAAAGGACTTGGCATTGCTACTTTCCACTTGTTGATATATTTTAGTCGATCATTGTTATATCTATAACTTATCCCCTCTCAAATACTCAATCGAGGAGTATATCTAATTCATCGAGAGTAGTTATTAACAACGACCGTTCATTAATAACCCTTACTATTAGTCAAGTATAGAACACCGCCATATACCGACTTAATAGTAGCATTTAATCTCTTAACTCCTTGATGAAATCAATTGAGATTGATAACCTCAACACAACGGTTTCGGTTTAACCAACAAAATTAATCCCTCTTAAGTTTATTAACCACGACCGTGCATTAATAAACCAAAGTTACTTACTTGTGAAACCATCAACGATTAACCATCGGTTCGTTGATCGTTTCTAGTAGTAATTAATGTCGAGATGTTAACTAATTGTCATCTTAGCAACACTCCCCGACATTAATATAGAGATAGATTAAGGGAAGAATTAATATTCAAGGAAGAAGATTAAATATGAATAATCCTACTATAACTAATGTCAAGATGTTATCTAATTGTCATCTTAGCAACACTCCCCAACATTAATATATAGAGGAAGAAAATAAATACTACTATATCTAATGTCGAGATGTTAACTAATTGTCATCTTAGCAACACTCCCCAACATTAATATATAGATAGATTAAAAGAATAATTAATATTCAAGGGAAGAAGTTAAGAAAATAACTCACAACTTTAATAATCAACAAGCTTCAAGAGCAACACCAAGAAATGGAAGTTTAGCTCCTCATTTGGAGACTAAACATGCTAAAAAATATATAAAAGAAATACTATTCTAAGTTGAGCTTAAGAGTATGGAAGAACGAGTGCTTAAAAGTGAAGGAAAATGGGGCTATTTATAGGTGTTTTGTAGGTGCTGCACCGGATACCCGACCGGGTATTTGAGATACCCGACCGGGTATTTGTCAAAATCAAATATTTTGCCCACGATTTTGTGTTTTCTGCACGTCTTTTTGTCCGGGTCACTTCATACCCGACCGGGTAAAGGCTATACCCGACCGGGTAAGTCACCAAATCACATTTCTTGCATGATTTCTTGTTCCCTTGCACTTTCCTTTGATCTTGTAAGATCCCTTCCATGATCCTTTGTTGATTCTTGATTGTTTCTTGCTCAAGATGATTCTAAATTTACTAAATTACAACAAACTAGAAAAATAAAATGATTGCACCTTAAATGAGCAATTACCACAACAACACACCATAAAAAGTAATTAAAAGTAAAAATATAAACACTCAAAAATCAATGCAATCAATTACTGTTCAATTTACTGTTACATAATTGGAGATTCTATCATTGGTATCAGAGCATCGTTCTGGTGACCTGATTTCTCGTTGCATCATCAGAAACTTTTCGTTCCAAGCTGTGACTGTTTCGGACAAGAGCCAAGATGGAACAGCGATTGGAGGCTGTTGAACGCAGTTATGCAAATGGGAAAGAAACATTGCTGCGAATGGAAGCAAGGATGGAGGAGATGTGGACTAAGATGGACGAGTCTATGGACAGTTTCCGTCAGTTTTGTCGCAGGCGACCTAGAGATCGATCGCGGACAGACTGGAGCCGTCGATCATCGGAAACGAAGGACTCAGCGTCTCAGCACCGGAAAAGAAGTCGCGAACGATTTCTTCTGGTTCGCAGTCGCGACCGATTTCTTCTGGTTCGCAGTCGCGAATGAATACCCCCTGTTCGCAGACTGCATCGCGCGTAGCAGCTTCTAGCTTGCAATCGCAAGTCGTTTCTCACAAGTCGTTTCTCACAGTAGTTCGAAAAAATCGTCGCAGCCAGCATCGTACTTTATTTCTCCTAGTTCACAGATACAAACTACCTCTCTCAGTTTGCATCTCATTCCAAAGACGTTTTCATCTGCTATTCACTCGCGTCAGAATGCAACTCTATCCAGAGAGAAATCTGATTGTGCGTAAATTTTGTCTCAGGTCTCTTCTGAATCGCTGACCACATCTCACAGTTCATCAACTCTAGCCTTTTCTCACACTTCGCAGTCGCTAACGACTTCTTTCAGTTCACCATCGCAAACTGATACATCGCATCCTCCGGATTATGTGAGTCTACGGCCACTTATGACAAAATGAATTCGAAGCAATTTGACAAAAATACATCTAAGCTCAACGAAAGTGAAGATGGACGCCAGGAACAATCATCTGTTGTTCAGGTTCATATTCCTGAAATTTGTTCTGTTGAACCTAGTTCTTTCGCTGATACATTTCCTAGTTCTTTAAAACTAGGTAAATGAATTCAATTTCATGGAAGCGAAAGAACGAAAGCGAAAGAGTATGCGATGATAAGAAAATTTCCTAGTTCTTTCGCTTCTCTTACTCTCGTAAATATGGATGGAAAACGCAAGGACAATAGGAAACTAAATCAGGTAATAAATGAGAGCAGTAAATTCTTGTTCACCAAAGGCATTCCTGGAAATTATAGTTGTAAAGTTAAGAATTCTTTAGGAGTGCTTTCTGAGGAAGACAGATTGTATGGGGATAAAAATTTGGCCTACTTTGGACATTCAGTTCAAAAGAACATAAGGGATGCTAATGAACATAAGATTGTCATGCTTCTATCCTTGGACTCCTCGGATATGGGACTGAAAGGGGCTGATAATTTTACTTTTGGTAGCAGTGTTGAAGAAAAGGTTGATGAAATAAAAGAGATTGGTGTTGTTGACAATTTTAAGAATCATGGTGATGTTATTGGCAATAATTCAGAATACCAATGGGGTGGAACCAATGTGAATCTGGACGATACTATCCAGGCTGCTGTATTGAATGTCCCCAAGTACCTTGTTTCACCCACCAACTCGTGGCTTGGCACTTTGACAGGAGGGCATGAACTGAACTTTCAGAGATCAGTTTTATCCAGTGAAGGAGCAGTTCAGGGAGTGGGGTATACCCATGCCAAAGCATTATCAAGGTTTTGTAAAGCTATTTTTCAGGGTGAGGCAAGGTCAAGGGAATTGCTTGGAGAAATATGTGCACAAAGGCAGTAGGATCAGCTTATGATAATAAGGATTACTCTTACATGAAGGGTTATAGGGTGAAGAATGACTATATCCTGGAAAAAGAGAATTTTGAGAAAGGTGTTGAATATGATGAGTCTGTGTGGTTCTACAACTTTAGGGCTATCGTATCTGTGGTGAAGAGCTTGGAAAGCATTAGTACTAGTGCAGTTACAACAGCTCTAGACTCTTCCACTAACTTTTTGAGTGTTGCTATTGGAAACGAATCTGGCCAAGTTCCCTATGACATGCTTAGCAGCAACTCTGGCTCTCAGAAAGCAAGATTGCATTTGCTCATTGAACCCAACGCTGAAGTTTCCCTTTTCCCAAGTGGTGCTTGGTATCAATGCACCGCTATCTTTTCGCTTGTCAGTTCCCCAGTATGCATCTGTCAGTCCATGGCATCAGGATCGAAATGGGTTATGGGGCTTGAAAGCCGCCAGGTTGTTCTGTTTGATATTGGTTCACCCTCGGTTTTGTTTCTAATGTACATTCCCTCTAGCTCAAGATTTCTGGTCTTATCTACTAAGGCATCTATGGGTCTTCCTCAAAAGCACTGTGAAACCAGAAGGACATCGTGCGTAGCACGAGCTTTGACTAGCACCGTGGGAAACGATTGTTGCAACGCTCCTAGCACCGTGGGAGGCAACAAATACGTTTTAAGGACATCGTGCGTAGCACGAGCTTTGACTAATTCTGCTTCATCTCCTTTCTTGTTTTTCTCTTGTCATTTTATTTAATTAATTTATTTTAATTAATTTTCTTTATTTTCCGAAACACACCCAACAGAAAGTTGTTGAACTCGATACACCTCTGTTATTTATTTATCCGTACAAATTTCTTAAATTGAAGTGATAACTACTTGCTCATATATATCATTACTACATGTTATATTATAGTACCACTTAGCAATTCAATTGCTGAGCGTGTAGTTTTTCTACACGTAGGTAAATACGAGAATCAAGTTGGAGCCCGTGGACAAAGAGACATCTGGACAGGACTGCAGGGCATACGTTCTTCTTTTATTTTCATATTTTAAGTGGTACAACAAAAAATGTATTATAAATAAGGATGTTATTTCAATAAAGTGAGTTTTATTAATATTGAGAATCATATTTTATGTTAACACATTAATCAATTAAAATACCACGATTGCATTTTACTAAATGTTTTCTAATTTAAATGAAAGATTTTTACTAAATGATAAACGACAGTGACATCTGTCCCGAACCGGCCAGACCGGGCGGGTGTTACAACAGCAATGCAAAAACAATTTGGAACAGATGCCGAGTCATATCAACTTTTACGCTACATGGCCTTTATGCTTGACAAAGCAAATCCACATTCTGTTTTTCTCTTATTAGAGATGATGATGATGTCTTCCGGTATTTTTTCAGGTCTTTTGCACCTTGGATGGAGGCATGGAATTTTTGCAGATCTATTCTAATTGTAGATGGGTCCTTTTTAAAGGCGTACTACAAAGGAACACTTCTCACAGCTTGTGCCCAGGATGAGAACAACCAAGTTGTTCCATTGGCCTTTGGAATTTGTGATACTGAGTCTAAAGATTCGTGGGTTTGGTTTTTTTCTAAATTGTCCGAATCTCTACCATTTCGTGAGGATATGTACATTATATCTGACAAGCATAAAGGTATAATTAGTGCCACTAAACGGATCTTCCCTCATGCTATGCAAGGCTATTGTGTTGAACACTTGCGTCGTAATATGGTCCCCAAATTTAAGGGAAATGCGACTCATTTATGTTGGAAATTCAAGGCTGCATATAAGGCTGGACCAATCAAGGAATTTGAGGAATATATGACCTTGTTGGATTCTCAAGATGTTCGTATACGCCATTGCCTTGAAAAAATTGGTACTCACAAATGGGCAAAGTGTATGTCTGGTCCAAGGCGTTATGATGTGATGACTTCAAATTGCGCCGAATCAATGAACAACGTTGATACTTCTGCCATGGAGTATTGTATTACCAATGTTATTGACTTTATTAGGGAAACGATGCAAAAGTGGTTTGTTGAAAGAAAGGAAAGCGCTGAAAAAACTAAAACTATTTTGACAAACAAACGGGAGAAGCATCTGGTTGATCTTCAAAGCCAATCTGCTAAGTTGAAGGTCAGTCATTTAATATTTGTGATCTGAACATGTTTTGCAGTGCATTCCCCATACTTGAATTACGAATAGAAATTGCATATACTTGGCATTTATGCCACATTTTTTGGGATCCCAGTTGCATACCTATCACCATTCCTTTCGTTACGAATTTACTTCACATTTGCATTTTATTTACACTTAGTAATCATATTGCAGGTGAAGCCCACATCATATTTTGAGTTTGAAGTTGTTGATAGGCATTGTCGCTCCTTTGTAGTAGATCTTCAAACTCGAACATGCACGTGTGGAGAGTTTCAACTCAATCACTTTGTTTGCATTCATGCGATTGCTGCTATCGGTCTCCGCCCTCGTGAATATTGTTACGATTATATTTCCCCATATTACACAAGAGATTATTGTCTTTCTGCATGGAGCGGTATTATGCACCCTATCTGTGATAGAACTTGGTTGGTGCCTTGTAATATATCCACTATTCAATGTAAGCCTCCAGTCTGTTTGAAAAGACCATCTGGTCATCCCAAGAAGTCAAGAATACCTTCTTTTGGGAAGCATCGTGGGAGGAAACGGCAAAAATGTTCTTAGTGCAACAAACTTGGTCATAATAAGAAGACGTGTCGCAATCCTATTCCAGCAACATGTCATTTGGAATGAGTTTATATTTACTTGTTTGTATACCACTTTTGGATCATATAATAGAATTGAACTTGTTATTTCTTAAGCATTTACTGACACATACCCTATCTGGAACATGTCCTTTTATTTTTATGATAGTTCCCCTTACTTGTTATCTCTTTTATCTTTTGTGCCATAGTGATTTTGGTTTCTTTTATTTAATTATTCCAATTCAACTTTCTGATTATATAGTATATGTTAACTTATCTGGATTGATGGGTTCTTTTCACACATATAGTGGCAAATCTCCTAAAAAGACTAAAATGCTTTTAAATTTTTTAAAATGGTCTGCCATGTTATAATCTCGTAAGTAAAACTAATTCATGCCAAGTTTGTCATTAACGAACTATAAACATGGAATCATAGCCTTTTGATACAAAACTAATTGCTATCAATAAGAGCCGGTGATAGGGCCAGTTAGGCAAGGCATTTGCCTAGGGCCTCAAATTTTATGGGGCCTCCAAAAAATATTTATTATTAATAATTGGTAAATGAAAATGGCTTCTACGTTATACACCGTATTGATCCGTACGTATATATAGGACTAGGTAATGAGTAATAGACCCAATCATATACTGCAGCTACTCCGTATTTCTTTCATTAAAAAAAGCCATTCCGTATTCCTTAGTTTACTTGCATTGATACCTTTTTGTGCTTAATTAACTTTGTAATTGTAAAATTTTTAATTTATATGCACTTCTTTTTGTTAATAAGAAATGTTGTTTTGTATAACTAATTATTAATATGTTTGGATTTTTTTATGTGTTTAGTTAAGATCTTATTTTTGCATTTTACTCAATCGCATTTTCTCATATTTGTTTGATAACTGTATCTGCTAATTTTAGCTTTTTTTTTTTAATGTTGTCATGCATATTTGTTTTTGAATTTTTACGTCGTAATATATATGAATATGTAACTATTAAGGTCATTTGGTTACCTTATTCTTAAGATTATCAGTATTATCAATTAAGTTTTTCATCAAACACGTAACTTTTGATTTCACGTGCAGAGATGCGTATTGATCAAAATAATATAGGTTGGATTTACTTTTCTGGCTGAATTGACAGAAGTTATTGTAGAGAACCATTTGAGCTATTTTTCATACTCCGTTTAATTCTTTCTTTATTTTATTAATAAAATATACTCCGTATTTTTTTTCATAATTCAATATAAAAACCAATTCCGTCACTTTAGTCATACCTTCATATGATGAGTAATTAAATATCTGTAATCAAACGGCGCATTGTTATATGATGACTAATTTAAAAAATTACTTAATAATATTTGCAAGTGTCAAGTCTTTTTTGCCTAGGACCTCTAAAATGCTAAAGCCGGCCCGGGCTATCATGTCATCCCAATTTCATTTCATCCATTACCCCTGCATACTTCTGCCAACATTTCTCTTTCTTATTCCATGTTTTGGCAGTTTATTCTTGTAACGACCTCAAAATTTTACACTTCATAAAAACTTGAAAGTAAAAGTAAGCATACAAGTGATTAAATTAAAATTATAAATAAATAAATAAATAAATAAATAACAAATGGAATCAATCTAACAATATTGTTGTCCTAAGACCAATATATAGCTAAGTGGATAAGCTAGAGGCCGGGTCAACTCTGATAACTCAGTTTCTTGCCTTCTTGGAGTCTGTTTGCAACATCTTCTGCTTTTAAAAAAGTGCTTTTTTAATGAAATGAAGAGAAATGATTAAATAAAAGTTTATAGTGTTTGAGAAAAAAGTGATTTTGAAAAGTAAAAGTGGGTAGTGTTTGGTAAAATAAGTGCTTTTTGTGTAATAGAAAAAGTAAAAGCACTTTTGGCGCGGAAGCCGAGAAAAATAAAAGTAGTAGTGTTTGGAAAAATAAGTGATTTTTTAAAGCCAAAAGCTGAGAAGCGCTTTTTTAAAAGGAGTTGCAAACCAACCCTTAGTATGTATCGAATTTAATCAAAATAGCAAGTCTGATCATATCAATTAAATTAAAGGTAGTCTAGAAATACGAATGCATTATAAATGTATAGTACTCGTATAAGTAAATACATTATTCGAGGATCCATTTTATCAGTAAATATGTGGCTGCAATTTCATGCTATATATACATGTGAACATACGTGGCAGTTACATGCACTAAAGAACAATATATTAATGTAATGAAAAGAACAAAAATTTGCCTGCTACATACAAACATGTATGCATAAGAGTACAAATGGAGTATTTATGATAGCAATAAATTAAACAATTAAGTAATAAAACCTAAATGCAAAACTAAAGTTACACTATTCTGAGCAAGAGAGGTGTACGTGTATACATATGCATGCTCTTGGGACACTAGGCTTCTAATTTACAAATCAAACAAAATAAAATGGGGACACCACCATGATGATTGACAAGATATTTAGGACACTCGTACAAGGTGCATTAGAAAAGAACAAAACCATTAGATATATGTATTCCTATATATATATTACGGTAATAATATTTACAAGTTAGAAAGGAGTGAGTATCAATTAAATAATATATCACTAAAATAGAGAAGAGAAAAGAGATTAGAGAGGGAGAGATCTGAGAAAGAGAGAAAAGAGGGAGGCAGCCGCAAGGGAAAAGGGAGAAAAAAGGGATGAAGGGAAAGGAAGACAAATATGACCATAGGAGAAAGGCCAAGGAAAAATAAGGAGAAAATTCTAGTAAAAAAGTTAAGGTCTGTGTTCATTCCTTCTCTTAAATTAATTATATGATTATAATCTAACATTTTACTCTTATATCTTATGCTTGTTTATCTCCTTAAATTAAATCTATTTCATAATTATATTGTGGTGTCTTAATATGTCATTTAACTATCCCGTTAAATAAGCTGTGGCTTGATGTATAGTTATAATTGAAAAGAAATGTATATTTTTAATCATATTATTATGAGAAGATAATTTCTTATTTTCTGATTTTATTTATCAAACTAAATTTGACTACTTATAATAGTGAAAAACAAGTGAATATAGATATACTGAAGAAATTAAAGGTGTACTTTTTATGGCATGGAGAGGAAGCTTCGTTATCACTATATTTTGTATATAATAAAGGAAATCAATTTTTATATAAGGAATATAACTTCGTGATCAATATATACATATAAATACAAAATAATTATTATGATTATAACAAGCTAGAATTCGAAATCAGTAGTAGAAGGATTAAGAAATTTTCAAAATTCATGATGTACGTACATTAAGGAAGTATATCCACAGTTAGATACATGAATAAAAGAATAAAGATTGAAGTGTGATTTGCAATAGTTAAAATGACGCCAAAAATTGTACGTTTATATAGTGATGTACATTAAAACACGTACATAAAAGAAATAAGCATGATCTGGACATTAAACTCTTGGACACTATGATATGATAAGTTATATTTGAAGCTGATTACGATGAAATCAGTTTGAAATGAAATATGCCAGTAAAATGATTATACGAACTTATAAGAAATAATACCAAGTATTTTATTGAATAACTAAAATAAATGGAATTCGAAACCTTGTTTGTGGATTTGGATAGGTTGGCATGCCAATAGGGATAGTTAATACGGCTGTAGAATTTGATCGTTTAGGGTTCGCAGCCACAGAGTGGACAGTACCCTAACGAAAGGCCTGACCCACACAACGGTCAGTGCTGTTGCTATACCTGAAATCTTGAACTTTGATCGTTTAGGGTCCGCAGCCACAGAGTGGACAGTACCCAAACGAAAGGCCTGACCCACACAACGGTCAGGCTGATACTACTCAGATGGTTCGCAGCCACTGAGTGGACAGTACCAGATGAGAAATGTCCCGTTTATCCACTCTAGTAAATTAAGGAGTAGAATTCCAGAAATATTAATAAAAGAATAAAAGCGTGAAAAAGGAAAAGAGAATGACACGAGTAAATGAGCAGAATTGAAGTTGAAAATTGAGCAAAAGATGAAAATTGTGCAAATGGAAGTTAAAGTGAGATAAGGATCGGAGAATGTCGAATGGAATATTGAATTACATCAAGCTATGATATTGCCCTTGTGAAATTGGACTTTATGAAAGTGAAAATGGTGACATATATAAAGAATTGATGGAAAGTATACAATTAGAATTTGAGGAAAAGAAAGAATATAATGAATATAAAGATGAAAAACGATATAATTTTTAAGAATGTGACATTATACTAAATGGAAGGATTATATTGTACTCGGATGTTAACTAGAGTTATGATTTTACATTTAATATTCTAATTATAAAAGTATACTTGGGACATTGATTAATAAGTTATGGAGAAACTTAATTAAGAGATATTAAGAGTTCAACACGAGGCTGGAATTTTAATAATTAGAACTTCATAATTTTTGTATTACGCATGTTGAAATAAGCATTTAGAAACGAACGAAATATAGATTGAACTAGCTTTAGAGAATGAAACGAATTTGGTACATTTTGTATTATTCCTGGTATTTAATGTTTAATACCTTAATGTAGTAAAAAGGAAATTTATAGTAAATAAATCTGGTTACAAGCTAATACTCCGTATGGAATTGAATTATTAGTTACGAGTTTTAACTATCATGATTTTAATTAAAGAGTTGATTTTTGTATTATATGTATTGAATAGTTACTAGAAACGAAGTGTACTTTTATGAGATACTTAAGTTAACGAGTAAAAATCAATCCGGAGAAATCTATATATTTTTCGATACATGTTATTTTTAACTATTGGGCTATTTTGTGATATTTGATATTGATATGTATGGAGAAAGAATGAACACCACTAAGCAAGATTCGCTTAGCGCGTTGGATTTTTGTCCTTCGCGTAGGTACATAGTCCGAGGTAGAGTTTAAGGAGGAAAGCATTTGGGAGCAACCTGCCAATCAGCACAGAGTCACACCAGCATATTAGTAATATGTCATCTTAGTCTGCATAATAAATATGTATTAACCATATTAGTATGATGTAACAGCAACACCAAACATTTACTTATTATGTATTAAAAAAAAATATATGAATGCTTCCGTTGATATGAGATTTCGTAGAGGAAATAAAAGTATTTTTGGAAATGATGAAAAGGATAACGAAAAGTTAGAATGCGCTTTGGTGCTCCGACACTGCGGGTAGCGCTCCT